GGCACATGGAAGCTGGAAGGTGCTGCGCTCCCACTACTCGCAGGCCCAGGATAAGCAAACCCGAGCTCTCGGCGTCCAACAGGTACAGCTCCGCTCTGCCTGCCCGGGCTGGGCCGGGAGTGAGGGAGGGATGCTCTGCCCCGGAGCCACAGCTGAGCAGGATGAGTTGCACACCCTGCATCTCCTTGTTTAAATAACCGTGACCTTCCTCCAGAAGCTGCACGTTTCCAGTCACGTTCTGTGGTTGTGTGGAGAAGTCGTGAGCACGGAGTTTTTGTCACAGCACTATACTGTTTACTATAAGACAGTTAAATAGTATGTAAGCTACTGTTTGTGATCTATGCCAGGCTGGTTTTAAAGGGGATATTGCATTCCAGCTGTATGGCCAAAACTGATACTTAATATTTTAGTTAGTTCAGCTGACTAAACTTTATTTGTCAACTTCAGGTGCATTGGGCTATACTGTTTAGGTTTGGATCTTTAACCTGTTTTCTTTGCCTTCTGTTTTTAATTAATCTCTTTAAATTTAACACAAGCTTTTTAATTAATGTGACTCAATAATTATTAATGTACTTGTGAGGAAAAACAACCTATTGGCTAAAGCAGGTTGGAAGAGTAGGGTGGCACCAAACAAGTGGAGGTGGGCAGGGAGGGTTTATTCAGTTGGTGCATTTGTAACGTGGAATCTTGGCCTGGTAAAATGATGGTGGTGTTATTTTTATTTCCTTGTGTGCTCTGCCGTTTGGATGCAGAATTGCCATTGGGTCCAGTAAGCTGCTTCAGCTGGAGCTGCCCCCGCAGCTGGAGGGGGTTGTGCCACAGCCAGGCCATGGCAGCAGGAGGCACAAGGGCCTCTCAAAGGGCTGATGAATTTTTGCCCAGATGTGAGGTGTTTTTACCATAACTGCTGGTGTGGGAAGTAAATGTGGGTGTGTTGGGAACTACCATGGTGAGGAGAGTAGGCGCAGTAACACTGAGCTTTAGGTTAAGGTCTGAGTTCTTCCATCTGTGAGAAGCTGAATTTGAAGTGTGTCATGTTGGCAGACCTTGGCAGTGTTTTCTCCCTGTTTTTTTTGTTTTTTTGTTTTTGATTCTCAGAAAAAAGAATTGAACTTTGCTGCAAAGGATTGGTGTGAAGATGCAGATGACTGGGGAGCATGTGATGGAGCACAGGCTCCTGCATGTGCTTCCCTTGAGCTGCTTGGCCTAAAGGAAGATGTGAGCAGCGAGGTGGAGTGTGCATCCCAGCTCCAGCAGCTCCACCTGTCAGAGCCTGCCCATGGTGCCCAGGACACCCATCCTGCAGCCAGTGAGGACATGGTGATGGCAGTGGCTGGCTCAGCTCCTGTGTTCCAGCCCTTCTACGTGAATGTGGTGGATGAGGAAGACTACATGGGTTTCCTTGATACAGATCATGCAGATAAGCTACTGAAGGAGTATCAGCAGAGAGAGGGTGTTGATTTGGAGCAGATGATGTCAGAAAGGTGAGAACAGGTCTGGATTTCATGGTGAAACTGGAGGAATTGTGTCGTTTCCTGTCTGCTGTTTGAGCGTCTAAATGGGACACTCATTAAACCTGAATGATGTTGTCTGGAAGCTCCTTTAGGAACCCTTGGGGTGCTGTGCAGGAAGGACAGGACAGTGCACCCAGAGCTGTCAAATCTGGAGTTACTCAGAGATGGTTTTAGCTCAGCTATTTCTGAGGGACTGAGCAGTGTTCATGGGCTCCAGGTGGTGCAATGGATGGTTAATCTCTGAAACAAGATCTGTGTCAAATGGCATGACTTTATGTCATGGCATTTTACTCTTTTTTCTTTACAGGGCTAAAGCTTTCTTACAATTCAGTTGCATTTTTAAGAGTTTAATGTTTTAGATATTTTGGCTAGAGAACTGGGTGAGGGTAAGACACCTGAAGGTTTAGTAAAGGTTGCCTGAAAAACAGTTGTTGAGCGTGGTTACTGAAAATATTTTCTTAGTAAAATATTTAACTTAGGAAGTCAAAGTGAGGACTTTCAGCCACTTGTACTTGGATTGTGGACAGCATTGAATTTGTTTCTAGCTAAAGCTGCTGTCAGTTGCAGAATCTGCATAGAAGACTTGTCAGCAGTGTTGATTTTGGTTGACCTTTATGAAATTGTAGAACTTTATGCTCAGTTCAAAATTGAAAAAGACAACATCATAATTATAAAAGCACAAAAATGTTAGAGAAGTTATTACGGTTTTTGATGGAATACAGGAGGCATCTGGTGGATTTGAGTCCCATGTGATAGCTGAAAACACTGTTGGTAACTGTAAGTCACCAGAAACCAAAGAACTAGAAGCAAAATGTTCACTTGCAATCTCTAACTGGAATTTTCTCTTAACTTGTATATCTTTTTCCAGTGTATTTAGTATAATTTGAGTTTACAATAACCATTATTTTAAACATTTATCCCATGTTTAAAACTTTACTGCACAGTTTGTTTCTTGTTTTCATACAGTTATGCAGGTGAAGATGGTAATGAAAAATATGAGAAGAGTGAAGTCAAAAACTGGGACTACACATTCCATAAATTCCTGAAAAGAGTATCTGTATGTCCTGAACAGATTCTAAGGTATGCTGATAATCTGGTTGTAACAGGGAGATACAAATCATTGGCAGGGATGGTTGGTACATCAAAACAAATTCTTTAATTGGAAATACGTCTTCGAAGCCTCACTGAAATCCAGGCAGAGGTTTCCAAGAGACAGAAGTGTAACACGGTGGTGTGCTGTTGTGATACATTTCCAAGCTATCTGCTCCTCTGAAATATTGCAATCTCTTTGGAATTTCTAATGTCTGTCCTGCAAGGAATTTCTTGTTTTAAAGCCCCAGGGCTGCAGCTCATTGTGGACTCCCCTCAACACCCAGCAGTCTTCAGGCTGTTTTTCCTAGAGCAGAAGCAAGTGTAACCTCAGAGTAGCTGCTCTTCCTGAGAGAGGAGTTAATTCTGGATGGGAGTATAGCGAAGAGTAGATCATAAGTCATTCATAGTACCTGAAAATCCAGGTTTTCATGGATCACACCAACTGTTCCAGGGAGTCCAGTGCTGCCTGTGTGGTTGTCTCAGTGTAGTGACAGGGCTTTTGTTCACCAACTTTCAGGTACTGGGTGGAACTAACTGGGCCCTTTTTAATGAGGAGTTAAAAGTCTGAGTGGCTGCTTAGACAGAAAAGAAACATGAGAAACTTTAATTGTCAAAGATTATACAGGAGATTTTCTAATGCAGAGTGCAAGTAGCATTTTCAGACAGCTTTTCACTGGTTCTGTCACTTTGTATTGTAAATGCAGGCGAACCCAATGGGAAGAAATGATGATATCTGACTCAATTCAGAAGGCTGAATGATTTCTTTATTATAACTATGCTAAAATACATTAATATACTATATAAAAGGAGGATACTAAAACTACATACTACTTTCTCTGACTCTAACCCCAACACAACTCGTGACCCCCTCTGAGAGTCCAGCCCCAGGTGGGTTGAATTTGCCATCAGGCTCAAACAATCCTCACCAGAATCCAATCAAGCACTCACTCCAGGTAAACAATTCTCCAAACACATTCCACATAGGAAAAACAAGGAGCAGAAATAGAAATTGTTTTCTATTTCATTTCTCTCTGTGCACCTCTATGAAAAATCCTGAGAGTGGGAGAAATGTGTTTGCCACAACTTTGCAGTATTGTGCTCTTTGAATTTGCTGCTCCTCTGAAACATCAGCTTTGGTGCTCCCTGGGCTGTCCTCCCTAGCCTCCCTTTGCCCTCCCTGGGGTGTGCTCTTACACTCCCATTTCCCTTGCCTGCAGAGCACAGAATCTCCTGTTTGGCATTCAGTGGAAACCATCCTTGGTCTTTGTTTCGTGCTAGCTGTGAAGCTCTGATAGCTCTTACAAATTAACCATCACTTCTGAGCTATGACTACAGTGATTTTGAGACCAATTTGGTGCTAAATCTTGTTGAATTTTATCTTTTATTGCCACTGTTCAGGATTGCATTTTCTAGGAAAGTGTAGTTTACTTAATGAAATTATTCTAGTACAGCATATTTTGGAGGTGTCCATTCAAAGCATTTGTCTTCTCTAAATCCAGCTCTTTCCTTAAGATTTTCCAAGTGTTAACGTACCAAGTATTTCCCCCTCCATGTCTTTATTTTTTGGTTCATGACTCCTTTGAAGCTTCTGACTCACAACCATGTTTTTTACTTGAAGCAGGTTCAGAGATCTCAGCAACTCCTGAACACTGTTGCTGACACATAAGATTTCCTATCAAATTTAGATATTTTAAAAATGATCATTTTTTCCTTCATGTCTTCTCTCAGATACTCTTGGGGTGGCCAGCCTTTATTCATCACGTGTCCTCCAGCCAACCTGGACCAGGCTATTCCAGCCTGCAGTACCTGTGGAAGCAGCAGAGTGTTTGAGTTCCAGCTGATGCCCACGCTGGTCAGCATGCTCCAGAGTGACTCAGGTGCTTGGCTTGGTTGAATCAATATTTCTAACAGTCTCCTTTTTGGGAAAATGCAATGAACTGCAATTTGAGTTGCTTTCAGCTACCAATGCGTGCTTAACCGCAATTCAAAGAATCTGCTGTCTCCATTACAGATTTCAGTGACCAAAGAGAGAATTCTTCTTCATGGAGACTCTCTGGTTACAGCTTTGAGTTGTTTACTACTGAACTTTGATTACTGCAGTAGGGATAATTCCATAGCTGTATTTGTCTTTATTGCCTCTTAAAGGAGGCCTTGAAAGATAATAAATGCTGTGAAATAAGATTGCAGACACTTAAAAATCCCTTTGAAAATTCTGATTTGGCTGCCTTTAAAATGTTTAACATTAGAAAATGATGCTTACATAGGAGACTGAATTAATCTGTGCAAAGACTGAAGTCTAGTGGTAAGCACTAGCCCGTGATTATGTCACTTTTCATACCCTTATGTACCTGTGTTGCTTTGTTTTTAGATCTGTCAGTGGAATTTGGAACTGCTATAGTTTACACGTGTGAGAGAAGCTGTTGGCCGACAAATCATCAAACTCCTCTTGAAGAATTTATTTTTGTACAAGAAGACCCGGATCAGAGATTATTTAAATAAATTGTATTTCTCTGCATAGATCAAAAGTCTGGGGTGTTTTGGTTTCTTTTACTAGAAGTGTATAATTACATAATAGAAATTTCCTCAGATGTGGTAAAAAATTAAATTTGATGTCATTGTGCTTATTTCCAAGAATAACTGATTGAAAGATATTAGCAAGCCTCTAGAATGTGGTGGCAAAATTTGCATACTTCAGTTACACATGGAAATCAAAATGTAGAGATTGTTTCACAGCTCTAGTTACTCTTGGCATTTGGGAAAGAAATAAAGGAGAAAACCTTTTCTGTGTACTATTAGTATCCATCAGCCACATAGATCCCAGTTTTTAGAAATTCTTAGCTGTGGAGAACTAAATGCCAGCCTGATTTTAAAAAGCAATTCTGGTTTGATTTGTCCATGGATTGAAAATCAGGAGGGGAGTGGCTGAAGGCCCTTCAGCCTTCCAACATGAAGCTTTTCTGTGTTTTTCCAGTGAAGGAAAGGTTCCATTTGTGTGGTAGAATGAGCTGTGGCAGTGCCATGGGTTTGTGTGGGGGAGAATGCAGGGGTGAGTTAACCCTTGTGTTCTCACAGGTACAGAACTGGGGTGGGCTCAGCCACCTGCCTTGGTGCAGGGGGATTGTGCAGCTTTAGTTAAACCAATTTGCATTCTGTGCCTTCCCTGTTGGCTTAGGCTGAACTGCAGTATCTTCACTGATTGAGGAAAAGTAATTTGAGTTGCCTTAGAGCATTCTGTACAGGTTTAATGCTGCAACATAAATTAATGCACTAAAAGTATGGATTTAAAATAAGGGAGATGGGCAGGAGAGGAAATGACACATGAGTGATGGAATGCTGGCAAAACTGTGTTTTTAAGGAATTGTAGCTCACCATGTCAACTTCTGGAGGCAAGTTAGTTCACTTAGGTGAATTCATAAAAATAAATATAAAAAATAAAAATATATAATAAATATATTGAAATATATTTTAATATATTTATTAAATATATATACGGAGTTGGAGGGGACCCATCAGGATCTTCAAGTCTTGGCCTTGCTCAGGACACCCCACAAATACCAACGTGTGCTTGGGAGCATTGTCCAAATCCTACTTGAGCTCTCTTTATAATAATATACTTTTAAAATCTTAAACATATCAATAAATATGTATATTTGAACTATAAATGTGTTAAAAATCAGCCCAACCACTATGAATCTCCTGCGGCACCAGGAGCGCGGGCGCTCTCCGGCGGCAGCGGGGCTCGAACCCGCGGCTCTCCGGCCCCGCCCCGCCGCGGCGGGCCCGGGCAGCGCGCGGCCCTCCGGGGCGGCAGGGGGCGCTGCGCGCGCGGGCGGCGCGCTGCCGCGGCGGGCCCGTGAGGAGGCGCGCGGAGCCGCCGCCGTGTCCGTCATGGCGGCGGCGCTGTCGGGGCCGCTGCGCCCCGAGCTGGCCCAGGCCGTGTCCCAGGCGCGGGTCCTGGTGGTGGGGGCCGGCGGCATCGGCTGCGAGCTGCTCAAGAACCTGGTGCTCACCGGCTTCAGCAGCATTTACGTGGTGCGGGTCCATGGCGGGAAGGGGGCCGGGGCGCTCCGGGGCGGGCGGGGGGAGGCCGAGCGCGGGCGCCGCGCGGCGGGGCCGCGGTGCCGGCGGGGCCGCTCCGCCGCCGCGGTGGGTGCGCGGTTTCACAGCGCCCCGGCCGCCAAAGCCGCCGCGGGGCCGGGGCGCCACAAAGGGGCCGCGGCCTGCGCGCCATCGCCGCCCGCTCAGCCCCGCTCCCGCCGGGCGCGGAGCTCCTCCTTCCCGCCGGGTCCTGCCCGCCTGGCAGCGCCGTCCATCTCCGCCAGCCCGCGGCTGGAGCCCCGCATTGCCGCGCTGCGCCGTGCTCGCTGCCCGGCCATGGCTTGAAAGTCTTCGGTTTTGCCCAGTGCCGCCTTTGGCGGTGCCGGGGGTGGTGGCCGGTGGTGAATCACAGCGAGAAGCCCCCGGAGAGTTGAACTGGGCTTTCCGATCCCGGGCTGGGAACCTCTCGGTGCTGGCGCTTCCCGCGGGCTCCTGCTTTCACTTTTGCTTCCAGATATTAATCTGTGGATGCTACGGGAAGGGCAGATGTTAGAGGGTAGTAACGAAAAAGAGATGGAGAAAAATACTGTTGGTGGAACTATGATTGCCTGGTGTCCAGACCTTTGTTGGCTTCTTATTGTTTAAGAAGAGCATATGGTTTTAAATCCAGCTAGAGCATAGGTCTGTTTCCTTCAGTACCTTTTTACTGGCGTGCCCAGGAGTCACATCGGAGAGTTTTGAGTGACAGGTTGTGAGGAGTTGGGGTTTGCCGCCAAGACTTGTTGAGCAGAGCAGCTCGTATCTAAAACCATACCAGCTTCTAGAAGAAAACATTTCGTTATTCTTACAGCTTGGGCTTTCCTATTGGAATGCTTTTTAAACTTGTAGAATGTGTTTAATTCCAATTTTTCCTTTTGGTTTGAGAGCTATCCAGTTGAACATTGCACCAGGGAAATAAATAACTGCAGAGAAATAAATAACTGCAGTGCATTTTCTGCACTGTTCCTCTCTTTTCCCTCGCTGCTCTGCTGTGTCAGTTATGTACTCCTGCAGTCCGTTTTAGCAGAGTTTAAGCTCCTGATTTTCCAGTTGGTCATTAGACATAAATCTCATCGGGGTGTGCTTGTTGTTTCCCTTGTTATAGTTTAGGGTTGGTATTGCCTTTCCAGGCTGACTTGGGGGAACTCCATTGATTTAAATACATGTTGGGTCTGTCTTCATATGACAGTGTTTTATGCAAGACATAATGTTTTGATAATATAGGGAACAGGTGGGTACAAGACAAGGTGAGAGCAAAAGAAGACTTGTTACACAAAGAGGGAATTTGCTGTTAATAGAGTAAATTGATTTTGTCAACATTTGTGATATTGTTGAGTTTTCCTGGGTTATTAAATATTAACAAACTTGAACATCTGACAATACTTTTTATAAATAAGTTGTGATTTTTAAAAAATAATACTAAAATAAAATCAGTAGTTCTGAGTACTAGACAGCTAACTCATATGACTTTAGTGTTGAAAGGCATACCCTTGCCCGATGAATGAAGAACAGAATTATGTTTTTTCAGGATCCAAGTCTGAATTAAGAGCATGAGTAAATGTTGTTAAGTTATGATGCCTTTTCTTCCAGGTTACCAAAATGGGAACATTGTAGTTGTCTTATAAGTGAGCTGTTAAATAACCATCATTCTTAGGTAGACTGAAGTTTCTGTTGAGGTCTAGTGGTCTCAGGTTTTCTCTCTGGAGAACTCTCTTTGCTCCCTTTAATGCTGTAGTTCTTGTTCTCAGCAGGAGCTGATGTTGCTTGTCTTCCTCTCAAATTGAAATATTCAAAGCTTTCTAGGTAGTGAAGTTTTTAACAGAGTTTTGCACTTTATTGTTTTCCCTTGAAGTTCTTGGGCTTTCTGGCTTTGAACTGAGCAAGCTTTCCGTGTATCTTTTGAGGAAGCAACAGAGGTAGAAATGTGAATTATGCAAATACTATTCTTATTACAAGAGACAAGGCCATGTGTATTTACTGTGATACAGTGGTAGGAATATTTAACAACTCTATAATATATTTTCAAAATGTTGTATCTTTTGTTTGCTCCATATCCAAAGGTATTTTTATTAACTGTTTAAATAAAACTCTGTAGCTATTGCAGTTTTTAGTATGTTAAAACTTAGTCCTTCAATTGAAAATATTCCCTTCAGAAAAGAGGCAGATTAAATCCTGGGGTTTGGATCTTTCACGCAGAGGATGTTCACTGAGTGTGTACCATGATTTTTTCATAATTCAGGTTTGATTAATAAAGTCAGAAGCATGTGACAACACCCTGAGTACATCACATTTAAACTTCACACTGCACAGGCAGTCTGAGAGTGCTCTCTGGGTAGCTGAAGGTGTTACTGTGCTGAGTATGTCAGAATTACCTGTGGGAATTTGGGAGAAATATCTCATATATCTCTGAAATAGCTCAGAAAAATTCTCACTCTCCTCCTTAAAATGTTAAAGACAGGAGAAGACTTCTGAGAAGAGTTGTTGATCAAAGAAAGAAATTGCACAAAAAGTAGTGATAACAAAGTTAGGAATAAATGTCAAAATTCTAGTTAAATCTTCTTAATCCTTGTGGGGGCTAAAGATACTGGAATTTAGGCTGTTCCTGTGTATATAATAATAAATAGAAACAGCTGTTAGGGGAATTGCAGTCATGGCATCCATTGTGCTCTGTGCTGTATGTTTTTAAACATTTTGATTGTGTGATTGGTTTTCTATTTTTATCAGCAGACTTCATAATTTGTTAATGTGCACTTAGGCAGTTAGTCCTGGGCAGTAAAAGGCAGTAAAAGCTTTTGCCCTGCAGTGTGTGTGTAAGATGGCTGTGCAGCTCTTGATTTACTGGTTCAGGTGCTTAAAGCTGTGCTCTGTAACGTGGAAGGACCAGTTGGTTTGGGGCAGCCTTTCCTGGGCCTGGGGGAAGCAGGAGCCAGGGCTCAAGGTGGGCGGTGCAGGGAGAGGCTGGCTGGACCTGCCTCGATGGATTTCTGCATTTTCCCACCTGAGCTTGTGCTGAGCTTCTCAGGAACTGCTGCTAAAATCTTCATCCTGTGCAAGCAAGAGCATTTCTATTGACTTTCTGCTCACTGCTGTGGGGGTGCATTTTCAGCAGGGGCTCTCTGCAGAAAGTTTGTTCTCATGTAGCCCTGCACTTTTGTCATGGTCCCCTGTCAGCAATCATTGATAACGTGTGGATTCCTGAAGAAAATTAGGTGACCACTTGTGCCTCTTCAGTTGCTGTAGGTCTGATGTGAGACCTGAAAGATCTGAGAAGGGGTCTGTAAAGTTTCTGCATTTTGGCCAGCTGTCTTTTCTTCAAAATGTGTTAATGGTTTTTGTTCCTTTTTTTTTCCTGTGAAAATGAAATGCCTCTCTTGTGTGTTTATAGATTGATTTGGATACTATTGATGTCAGCAATCTCAACAGACAGTTTCTGTTTCAGAAGAAACAT